AGCCACAGGCCTTGGCTGCACAGAAAAGGCCCTTACTGTCACAGTGAACGGCTTGCCAAGGAGTTTCGTTCTTACTCCAGACTCACCAATCAGGGCAGTCATTGCTCTGCTCTCAGAGGAGGAGAGCCAGAGTGTGACATGAGGTGGGATGGGGGCTCCCCTCCAACACTCTGACTTAAACTCTCTATCCTAGGCTGAATCACCGCAGTTGGCATTTATACTTTCCGGTTGCCACAGCCAGGGGTGCTATTCGCCTGGTTCCCCTGGTCACCGGACTGCTTCCTTCAGAGCATGCAGAAAGCCTCCTCTGGACTGCTCCGCTTGGCGCCTCGCTTCCCCTCCCTCGCTTCCACTCTCCATCTGGACGCACCGCCAGCGATCACACCTTAACCAGACTCCCGGCCTCTTTAGGGCTATGTCACAATTTTCCAGGCTTGCCTGGCTCTGGGTAGCTTTTTGGGACATGTAGTGCTTGTGGCTTGGAATACAAGAGTCGTGTTTGAATCTGGGACTCTTTGTGACCATGGGAAAGTAATGTCAGCTCTCTGAACCTCAATTTTGTGACCTATAAAATGAAGACAATATCTACTTCATAGGGTTGATGTATTTGATGAAAATATGTATAAGCAGTACCAGCGACACATAGTAGGTGCTCACTAAAGTGTGGCTCTGCTTATTATACAGTTATTCATGGATTTCTTAATTCCCCATTAAGCTCTGGCAAATTAATGAGGAAAATGGAGCAGGGGGTCCCTCCTAGAAAACCAAACCCACTCCAGATAATTTAGCAAGCCCCATACCTGCTGAGGACATAATGATAATAAACACATAAAGAGGCCACTGTGTCCCAGGCACTTGTCTTGACAACTCATTGTTTCTAATAACTCCAAGAGGTAGGTGCTATTATCCCCATTTTCCAGATGAGAAAACTCATAAGGCACATAAGGTGAAGTAACTTGCCTGAGGTCCCGTGGCGGGTTAGCATCAGAGCTGGCATTCCGGGCGCAGGCTGGCTCCAGAGGCCAGGCTCTCCTCCCACTCCCGCCTCCACAGCCTCCCAACTGTCCCCCCAGCTCTCAGGGCAGGGCCCCTTTCATGGCCTCTGGTCTCCCACCCTTCTTCCTGGCAGGGAGCTTTAATTGGAAGCTGTTTGTGCCACAATTTAAGGGCCAAGCTATTCTGGGAAGCCCAGAACAGTCTTTTCTTTATTATTCACCTCAATTAACCATTGTGTTGGTCTGGACTTGGGGGCTGTGGGCATTCCCACTGCATTCACAATGCCTCCTATTTCAAGAAAGTTTCTGAAGAATGCAGACCAGCTCTTGTTTTCCTGGGTAGATGTGGTCTTGTGCACTTGCAGAGTAAGCAATTTTTTTTTTTTTTTTCAAATAAAGGGAAGCCTGGGAGGAAGTGTAGTGGAACAAGGAGTGCAGAGGCCTGGAGGATGAGAAAGCTGGGTTTAGGCCCCATCAACCAGCACCAACTACCTGTGCTGTCTTGGGCAAAATGAGAGTAGCTCACACTGACCGCTTACTGTCACGAGTTCTCACCTTATCGTGACAGCAACACTTACAGGGTGGGTCTGTCAGGATCTACCTACAACAGACCACCGTAGGCACTCACCTAGAAGTTAAGGTACTGAGTTCATTTACCTTGCCCCCAAATAATATGAGACTGTATAAACAGGAAGCTTTAGTTTAGATAAGATTATCCATTATAAAAATTTTATGTTGAATAACTTATAAGTAATTTGAAAAGGAGACCTCTGGTCAGTTTCTACTTATGTCAGAGTCAGTGGGGTAGATGCATCGTGGCTCACTGGAGATCTTACACTCTTGTAGCCTTAACAATCCTGTAATCCATATAACTAGTCCACTTCCTACCTGCCTGACCTGTTACAAATGTAATACCTCAAGACTCGCAATAATTCTTTGAGGTAGATGCAGAAAGCTAAAGCTCAGAAAGGTTAAAAAAAAAAAAAAAAAAGAAAACTTATCCAGAGACAGACATGGCCAATTAGTGAAAGAGGTAGGATTTGAACCCAGGTACCTAAGTACAAAAATCCATGCACTTAGCTGCTGCTATCCTCACATGAAATATCTACGAGAAGCCATGGGCATTTAGAAACAGACTGGGGCAAACACAGTATTTTGAAACGATCTGATAAGGCCTAAGCAGGTCCTGTTAGGCTCGTATCATTGTGTAACTTTCCAGTAAAAAATAATTGCATTGTGTTTTCTAGGAAAAGGCAGGAACTAACTTCTTCAGAGTAAAAAAGCATCAGAATCCCATTCCAGGCTTCCTTCCAAAGTGAGATTGGCATGTATTACAGACATGTGTGATTGGACATATGCTGACCTGAGGAGCTGAGTGTGAATTCTGGACTCGTCAACCTATTACTTCAGTGACCTTGAACAATTCAGCTAACTTTGCATAGTTTTCCCTTATGCAAAGTACAGATGAAAATATATGTAAAACAAAGAGCTCAGAACCTTGCACCAGAAAGTTGCCCTTATCATAATGAATGTGAAGTCAGCAGTAGCTCCAGTCGGCTCTGTGACTACTCAGCACATTGAGAATCCTGCAGAGAGAAGTACTGTTAACATCAGAGTTCAGATCTGTTTGCAAGCAACAGAAACCAATGGGAGCTAGTAGGCTTTGAACACTGATGGAGAACTTACCAAGTGTAAGATCAATCATATGGTCCTGCCGAGGACTCGTATGTATAAGGCTGATTTATTCTCTCAAGAGGCCCAAAGTCCAAAACATGTGAGTTGGGCAGGCTCTTATTTTTTTAGGACATGCCCTTGCTGCATTATGTTAAGTCATGGGGCTGACTGCAAGGACACAAGAGGAATATACCTATACCTTGAAGCTCAGTACTTCCAAGACAAAGTTGGGCAATGGGCCAGCATCCTTCAGGACATGAGTTCCACTTACCTATCCACTGGGTGTACCTTGCACCCATAGCTCATTCCCCAAAGGAATGCGGGCTGCAGCTGTCTGTCAGATCTACTAGGGAGAGATAAACTTCATCTCTATCAGGGAGGGAGGGGGAGGAATGCGGGCTGCAGCCGTCTGTTAGATCTACTAGGGAGAGATAAACTTCATCTCTATCAGGGAGGGAGCGGGGAGGAATGCAGGCTGCAGGGGTCTATGAGATCTACAAAGTCTAGGGACTCCCCAGACTTGTGTGGCTATTGTTTTACAAGCCTAAGTTTTGCATTAACCTCATTCTGTCCTATACATACTTTTCGGGTTCCCACCTTGAACAAACCTAACATGTATTATGATCTTGGCTTTATTTTGCCAAGGAATGAGCCAAAGGAATGAGCTACGGGTGCAAGGAATTCCCAAAGGAATCTATCACCACTCAGCACTGAACATTATGACAGTTCCTGTAAAGCCATGCAAAGGGTACTGGCTCTCCAACTCATCCTGCCTCTACAGTATTGCCTTTGGGTCCAGGCACTCACCTCTTAGTCTATGGCATGAGTCACCGCAACTTTTTGCAGAAAGCAACCCCAAAGCTTAAGGCCATTTACAAGACCTTGCTGATTTTGACTGCTCAGCAGACCCTTCCCCATAACCCTATCTAATAGCACCCAGGTTCTACTTTAGAAAACTACCCTTTTCTCGGTATAGTCTGGCCAAAAAGTGGGTACATGACCTGAGACAGTCTCATCCTACAATCTGAATCTTGAAAGAGACTTTGGAACTGCCTAACTCCTGCTTTTTTTTTTGGTGTGTGGTTGCATTCCCCCCCAAATGTCCAAAAAATTCATTTTCTTAGAACTCATGTGAAATAAGCTGCTTTGCTTAGCCAGTGCCTATGGGCATGGTTAGTATTTCCTCAGGCAGAAAAAGTCCTGTTGAGGAAAGAGTCACACCTAGTACCTTGTCTTGGAACAGAGAATTAAAGATGATATGAGGAAAAATATCGAGCCAACAGAGAACACACAGCACCAAGGTAACACTAAGTTTTGATGAGGGAGTCTCTATTTTTCTATGTTCAGGTAATGACATCAATGGAAGAAAACTGGCACTGCCCACAATCTCTTCTTTCAGTTGCTACCGCTGAGAATACTGCATATTGCTGTTATTCTTTGGGGCCAATAACTAGACTCATCCATTTGATGACATTTTATTTTCAGAAAGGCACCATTCACTGCATTCAATTTGTCTAACAGCTTACATAATCAGACATTTTTTTCTTTTAAGTTAATCAAGAAATTCTTCCTTCTCTTGCAAAAGTGAGGCTATGGCAAAAATAAAGCCAAGATCATAATACATGTTAGGTCTGTTCCAGGCGGGAACCCGAAAAGTATATATAGGACAGAATGTGGTTAATGCAAAACTTAGGCTTGTAAAACAATAGCCACAGGAGTCTGAGTCGTCTCTGGACTTTGTAGATCTCACAGACCCCTGCAGCCCGCATTCCTCCCCGCTCCCTACGTGAGAGAGATGAAGTTTATCTCTCCCTAGTAGATCTAACAGACAGCTGCAGCCCGCATTCCTCCCCCTCCCTCCCTGATAGAGGCAAAGGCTATCTCTCCCTACCTCTCCTGATAAGGAGGACACCAGAGCAGAAGGATGGATGTGACTGGGGCAAAGGGGTCCTAGGAGTTGGTTATTTGAAGAAAAATATATTACAAGCAGCTGCTCTGGCCCACTTACTTAGTCCCCCTGAAAAAACCCTCTATAAAACCCAAGGCTCCCCACTTTTCTCTCATGGACGCTTTTTTGCCTCCACCCATCTGCACCCAGATGCTCAAAATAAACAGCATTTGCTACACATGAGGCTCCATGTGTCTCTCCCTCAGCTCCAGACCTAACGATACAAATATCATTAGGTCTATTGAATCTTGAGAATTACTCACCAGCACCCACAGGGAAAAGAAAAAACTTTGCCTTTGTGGACGGGGTGTGTCATTTTTTAGGTGTATCACTTTAGGAAACTAGTTTCTTAAAATGTTGAGCTTCAGAAAGCCTCAACATTTGTGACTGTGCTAGTAGCCCTTCAGACGTATTTTATACAATCTGTGCTGAGTCACCCGGGAGTCGATAGGCTGACTGTGGGCAGGTAAAGCACCTCCCTGCAGATCTGGTGCTATTAAGGATGCCATCTGGGAGTCTCAGACTCCAAGCCCAAAGCTTGTTCACATTGCACTCATATTGTACATACACACGCAGTCTTCCTACCAGTAATATTCAAGATAAGCACGCTTAATATTGCCAGTCATATGTAGATACATTTTTTAATTGTGTGTGTCAGAGCCAAGATATCCCACGGATCTAACAAAAAAAAGGCAGGGGAATAGCTTTAACATACCATTAATTTACGCTATTAAATTTTTCCAGTGAAAGATAACAAAGCCCATACAAAATTTAGACACAAGAAAACTCAAATTTCAGCTACTGATACCTGTCTAACCATAGACCTTGTGTTTTCATGCCCTGCCATCTAGGACGCTTCCTTCCTTCCCTGCCAGACGTCTTCTAGCTCTGATCTTGTTGCTCCTGACAGCCCACATCTGGAACATCTGTTGTGCTGCCATAGTAACACAGGAGGCATAAAGCTTAAGAAAGGTTCCATGTGAGAGAGAACTGTTGAAAAGAATCCCCCTGGCACCATCCCTCCCAAATGCTAATCATACTATCTAACACATCCAAGGAACCAGAGGCGAAATACCCGAGGGTCATGGAGAACCTATACAAGCTGACCTGCAAAGCTGGTCCTCCAAAGAGCAGAGGAAGAAAGCATGTAACCTAGCTCAAGTCATGCCTGCTTCACTCTTAAACTTCTCCCGCAAGTGCAGCTTCCCTGCAAACAGGGCTGGTCTTCAAAGTCTCTGAGTCCCTCTCTCTCTGACCAAGATGCTTGAGCTAATTTTATTCCTTCCCGACAGGATCGCATTGGAAAATACAAAGCCTCGGTTACGCAGCAGCAAGGAATTGGGGAATAAGGAGGTGGTGGTGAAGGGGGTAGTTTAGAATCCCTCCTGGGGTTGATTTAGAGATAAAAGTTCCAGGCTGCTGCCAGAAACGGGGTCACCAGCAGAAAAACTGTTTTCCCTGATAAGGTGGTCCCATCGTTTTGATCTTTCTCATGGTTGCACAGGTCCTTCTTGCAGCAGTAGTACCGTAGCTCAGGTTCCCCTAAGAGTGCTGAGATGCGTTCAACATTGCAATCCTCAAACTTCCAACACTGGTGATATATTCGTGGCCCTGTGGGGGGAGACATACACAAAGGTAAGAAAGTAAGTGGGTACAGTTCTGTATCTGCCTTTGAACCCTAAATTCTATGTAGAATTTACTCTATGGAAGTAGAGCCATCCAGGTAAAATGTTCTTCCCAGGTGGGTTGTGAAGGGGAACAATTAGGAAATGATGATATACCTCTAAATGGAACTTTTTGTAAAACCAAGGTCTCATCAGACCCAGGATAGTTGTGAGCAGGTGGATGGGGAGGCAACAGGCATTTATTCTGTTAGAGGGAAATTTGGTAATATCTACCAAGATGTTAACACATTAAGTGCCATGTGAGTTATATTTAACTCACGTCAATTTTGAGCCTGGGGCCTTGTGAAGCAAAACCTGGACAAAACCCTGCAGTTGGTTCGTGAAAATCTTACTTGTTGATGTTCTTA